CTTCAAATTTGTGGGTCATGTTGAGGTCCATGTAAAGCTCAATAGGTTAGGTCATATTGAGTCCCATAAATCTCAATCGTGTATAAGAATTAAGAATTGGTGCTCCTTATTTATAAATCATCGAAAACATTGTAAGGGTTTAGATTGCACCATAAGTCAATCTATATATTGAAAAGGCCTTGCTCGTGACGAAGAGCTTGATAACAAAGGATGTGGATCAATGATTTGGATCAAACCTTTACAATTATATCGTTTACATCACTCTTCCCTTATACTTATTGTTTTTATGTTTGCGAGTATCATTTGATTAATCTATTGATTCTTAACTTACTTGAATTTAGATTTAATTTTTTTAAAATGTTTTAAAAATCGATTCACCCCTTCTTTGTTAGTTATTCTTGAGTTTTCGAGGGAAACACAAACATGTAAATGGGTGCTAAAGGCACATTTGACTAAACATGATTAGACAGGATGACTAAAGAAATTTCATCAGATTTATCTTCCTCAATCTTATCCAGTCAAGTGTACGTGGTGACAATGTTATTAATGTTCGTGTTTTTTATCATATGCAAAAACCAAGTTTTCGCAGTATATGTCTAACTTCGCCTATGTTTGTCATTGTCCATCTTTCTCGAACAGAGAGGTTCTATAGATTGTTTTCATTCGGCCTCGAATTCTTCCTGTTTATCTTCTTGATATGGGCCGATGATTAAGTGACTTAGATTTTCGTACAAGTCTCGACTTTTCTTGTGATATTTTTCCATGTCTCATGCCACGAGTTCTGATGCAGCTTTTGGTTTAAAGAATATTTGTGATCATAGAAATCTTTGAAGTGCCTCAAATTCAAAACACTAAAGTGTTCTTCAATGTTGATTCTATCATTCGGATTTTCCTTTGATTCTTCGCCTCTTAAATTTTCGTGCAGCATTTTTTTGCAGATTCTAGAGAATACGACTTCATGTTTTGTCCATACATTTCGTTTTCACATTCAAACATGATTTTTTTCATACAGATTTTTCTTTCTAATTTCCCCTCTACGAAAAACAGATTTAGCGAAAACGACCTGAAACCTGCATCTTTATCTTTAACATAGAATTTCGATTCCACAAAATCTGCTAAAAATTTCAATAACTCCATTTCCAATTCTCAATAGTACTTAAATAAAACGAAGACCTCCTCAATACCATCCAGCTCGTTGAAATTATTTATCGCATTAACAAACAGTTCTGTTATTGCAAATCGAAGTTCATTTATCAACAATCGCCTTCCCAAAATCGATTTTCGCAATTTTTTCCAAGTTAGCAAAATCCCGAAAATTGTTTTAGGGCTCTTCGTACTTCAATCGCTAATATGGATTCATCCTCAAAATTCAAACACCACCCATGAATCTCTCTATGTTATTGCGAATAGTTTTCCATTTTGAAGACATCATGGACATCAGATAATCCAGGAAGACAGATTTCGAGGATGCATCAACTACGGAACTTCAAATGCCTGCAATTATTTTACTAGACAGTAATAAAAGAATTATCCAATTTGAACATTTTGCATATGTTGAACAAAGTAGTTTTCTTAAAAACTAGTGAAAAACAATTCTTCATGGTCTTTATCCTCCATATGCTGTTGATGTTGAGTGAGAAAGCCTAAAGCTTGCCTAAAGTATTGTTCGAATGGTACTACTTGTATTGCTGCACCATCAGTAGATACTTTTTTTTTTTTTTTTAATTTTTTTTAAAGTTGGACCCGACCAGATTCAAACAGAGTCGAGTCGGGTCGTGAAAGAGCCCAAAACGAGTATATCGGGTCGGGTTGGGCCAAACCCTACGCGACCCGACACAACACCCACCCCTAGAGACAGCACGATTTACGATTTTGAAAGGAGTAAGCGAGTTCGGGAGAACCAATAATTCGATTTTAGGGAAGGAAAAGATGAATTTAGAGGAGTTGATTTTGGATAAAATACATTTACTACATGTGATTAGCAACATCATGATTTGACATTAACTAATTACAATATCGTGCCACATAAAAGACTCAATTTGCCACATCATCAATTCCGTCACAATTTTGAAAGGACGTTAAGTGAATTATAAATGACATTACATATTACAAAATTCGGCGATTAACGAGAAAACTATTAAAAGTTCAACAACCCATTGAAAACATTGTGCAAAGTTCAATGCTAAATCAAATTTTTACCCCAATAATTATGCAACAAATTCCACAGGTTATGCGAACTATTCTCATTTAGTAAGCGTAGCTGATATCAATAGTTTAAAATCTGAAGTAGGATTGTAATCTTCAATATCGATTGTAAATCCCTCTTTAGATTCATTTGGTTACTAAGTTCAATTGTTAGTAAACTCCTATAAATGGACATCAATACAAACAAATGGCAGCAAGATCTTCATTAAAAGGTCTACATGTTGTAACTTGTACTAAAACGAATCATGCTACTTGTACAATTTTGATTGAGAATTTCACATTTGACAACATCTGTTTTAAAAACTGTTAAAACCCATGTTTTAAATCAATGATCCTAATTTTGTCAACACCAAAATTGTTAACAAAAGTTGTACAAATAGCTTAATTCATATCTTACACTGCCTAGTGCCTACACTGATGACATGGTACTCGCACCAAATTCATATCTTACTTTGTAGGGTGTTTTTTAAATGTTTGTGAGTTATTTAATTACTACTTAGCATTTACGTTACATAAAAAGAATAAAATAAACACAGTTCTCAACTTTGAATTTACTGTCAAATTGAGTCACAAGCTTCCAATGTTGATCAAATTAGCCCTGATGAGACAGGACTTCTTCATTTTCGTTCAAATTTCTTAAAGAGAACGAAAAGACAATTTTACTTCAAGTGAATAAGAAAATGAAGCAAAAAAGAAAAAAAAATATTAGGAGAAAAGACATGCAACCCAAAACTAAATATAAAAAAAATAAAAAAACTTTGAACCGTGCATTAATTTGCTTTGTTCTGAATTTGTATAATAAATGAAGCTCGAACATTAACTAGAGTGACATGTCTGCATCCGATTATAGTCATTTTTTTTTTCTTTTTACAAGACAAACCAGTTGCTGGCTTTCCTGCTAAGGAGCATTTTCTTTATACTTTTGAAGATGATGATATCACAACTCATTTTATGATTGCTCCTACCGCATTTGACACATTCTATCAAAATACATTAACTTATTTTCAACCACACATTCTTTAATAAAATAATATTTTTCATCTGATTAATAACTTTTCCTTACTTTACTATTTAAAATATACTATCTCCTCAATAATATCTATTAAACACACCTGTAGCTACTTTTTCTATGTGCAAAAGATAGCAAAAAGGGGTAAAAAATGTAGCAAACATAATACCGAGGACCATAAAGAGAAAGAAAAGAATTTGAAAGTGGGTGGCTCAAAAGTGCTTGAAAAACAATCAATCATAGGCATCCCTCAAATATGTATTAAAAAGAGATTGATTTTCTCATCATTGCCACATTTTCCTTCTCTTTGCGGAATTATGGGAAGTTGGGAACAGTAATATAATAACATAAAATTAACAATAAAATAATTACATGAATATAGTAATTAATTATCAACAATTATACTTCTACCGAGGTACTCTTCTCAAAGAATTTCAAAAGAAAATGCATCAAGCAATTTGATTTGAAATCAGAAACAGATCCTTGGGTTATCCAACTAACAGATCAAAATCTAAAAGGTTCATAACCGAATCTGCAAATTCAGTAATTGAAGGGGACATTCAGAATGAGTAGGAGGTTATTAGAACTCAATCAATCAACAAAAAATCAGAACAATTCGTATTCATCGTCATTATGCCCCCAACCTCCTGTTAATCAATAAAAATCATAATAAAAAGTTGAATTTGATTTCGTGTTCCTCTCAGACAAATGCCTCGA